ATTTCTTGGGTTGTTATTGGTCAACAGAGATCCAATCAGACAGTCTGTTGTATGGCCGTGAAAAAGCGTTTTCTTTCCGTCAACATATGTGGTTTTGTGGTTAAAAGATTGCTTTAAAAAGTGCCTGAAAACGCGAGTTGAGGTTAAAAACCGAAATTGTTTTGATTTTGGGTATTTGAGGTATGAGGTTAGCTCCCAGTGGTGCAAAGGTTCAAAGTCGCTTTTATCCGGGAGATTTGGTTATCCGTATGAGAGACAGGGAGATTGGTTCTGTATCCGGGAGACTTGGCATGTATTTATTATGCCGTGGTAAGTAGGCGATGGCGAGGCGAATCCTTTCCACTATTTCAAATTTACCGCCCCAAATAAAGACTGTTTCCACTGGAGAACAGAAATACAAACCTCAAAACATTTTTCCATTATGACGAAAACGTAAAAACTTTTTAAGGAATCCGCCGGCTGTTCACTGCTTTGGATCGGCTGCAGCTCAAGCTGATTTGACCGTTGATTGACAAATGATCTAGTGGTACCCAAGGCACCTCTCTCTTTATAGCGCACCTTCGTGTCATCAGATAAGGCCTGGGTAACAAATTAGCTAAGTCGAGACGTTTGTGATCGAACAGATGAGGACAAAGAGATGAGTTGGCCTGAAGTTAAACAAGCTGACGATGAACATAGGTATGAACTAGTTCTGAATACCGCTTCAGTCGCTGAGAGAATTGATCAAAATGGCCTGGACAATAATATTTTCGAGCTAAACTTTCTCAATTTTCTACAAATATCGAACACAACGTTGCTTTCTCTTCCGGTCGAAGTAGGGCAACTCTTAAAACTGAAAACACTGGATTTGCACAAAAATAGCCTACAGGAATTACCAACTTCCATAGGATTGCTCAAGGACCTCAAAAACCTTGACTTATCGGGCAACAAGTTGCAACAGGTTCCGTCAACACTGGCTGAACTGAATTTGCTTCAGACGTTGAATTTGAATTGCAACCAACTAACGGAATTGCCGAGTTTTGCACATCTCGTCAGTCTAATACGAGTCGACATCGGTCATAATTAATTGAAAGAACTCCCTCACGGAATATACGAACTGGAACACCTTTCAGAAATCATCGCTTCTAACAACCAGATTACCAACATCAGTGGGAATATCTCAAAACTGACAGCTCTCAAGGTACTGTCCTTGAATGTGAATAAGATTGAAATTCTTCCATCAGAGCTATCAGAGTGTCCTAAGCTGAAAGATCTTCACTTACAAGACAACTCAATTCAGGACAGGAGGCTTGTTAAGGTTATCAATCAATGTTCTACCAAGGCAGTTTTAGATTACATTGCAACAAGAAGCAAGAAAGGGAAAGCTGGGAAAAAAGGAGGAAAAAAAGGGAGAGGTAGAAAAGTCAGTGAGGGAGCTGATGATGAAGTCAGTTCAGACCAGGCCTCGGCACAAGTTTTCAGCCAAGTGGTTAGAGTTCTGCACAGTGAAGAATTTAAGGTTGTTTCTCAACCAAATGTTAAGGTTGTGCGACCTTACATTGTGTGTGCAGTGGTGAGGAATTTGAATCTTGTTGACATGGATGCTTTAAAAAAGTTCATCAATATTCAGGTACCTCTTCACAGTTATATATGAGTTATTAACCAGGGATGAGATCATGATGGCTAATATCCAGCCATCATCACCCAACAAGCTTGTTCAATGAAGGATTTAAAATATAGCAAAAATATTTCACGTCTCAAAAATAAAGAACTACCAATTTATTTTGAGAGCTGGGAAAAAAAATGTGAGGTGTGTTTGTAGTACAATAAACCCATGAGAGTTGATTATGATTTCTTTGTTTTGACTGTTTTCTGGCAACTCCATCCCCAACATTGTCCAAAACTCACGAGCTTTGTTAGTTGGCTCCATCTAATATTTGTGGCTACTGCCTCCTACAGGAGACCTAGCCACATATGTTGTTGAGATGAGTGAGTGAGTGAGTGAGTGTAACAATAGACCACTTTCATAAATGGCTGCCGGATCAATATTCTTTTGTTTAAATTTAAATTAGCCCTACTGGCCTTGCTTGAGATAATGTATTCTTTTGAATTTTGTACTGGAGAACGAGGCCAGTAGGGCTAATTTAAATTTAAACAAAAGAATATTAATCCGGCAGCCATTTATGAAAGTGGTCTATAAAATTCTGATCTTGACCCAATTTTTACCAAACTCTTTTTTCCCAATGCTACTTATTGTTTATTTGGAGTATCTTAGTAGTCCAGCATTCGTAGTGGACACACTTTTGAATAATTTCTCTCCTTTTGCGATTTCTGGCTTATAGCCCTGGCTATATATGGCTTGTAGCCTCTCCTTTTGTGATTTCTGGCTTACAGCCACCAGCACATCATGGTTTCAGTTCTTGATGTGACACTACAGAAGACAGCATGAGACAATAAAAATCTCACAATATTTCAGGATTCTGCATAATTGAAAAAGTAAAAGTTTTCCTTGCAGAAACATTTTAAAAGGTGTGATCTGCACATAATAAAAATTAGACAAAAACTGTTTTTCTTCAAAGAGAGAGTAATTTTAAATCAGCAAATTATGTAGATCTAAAGATCTCTCATCTTTTCAGTTCTTGCCATGACACTACAAAAGAGGATAACTGTCTCAAAATAATTTCACAATGGCATCAACCCATGCATAAATTAAATCAAAACTTTTCCTTGCAGAAATCTCTCTGTCAATAGATGCTATCTGCACATTCATCATTTGTTAATGCTATCTTTATGATCAAGTAACACTTTTTCTCTCCCCTACTTACAGACGAAACTTCATGAAAGTGTTTGTGACCAAAGAACAGCGGCTACAATTGCCACACATGACCTAGCATCTTTAGCTTTCCCCCTGGAATATGAAGCTTGCCCTCCAGGTGATATTCAGCTGGTGCCTTTAGGAAGACACAAGGAATTAACTGCTGAACAGTTGATAACAGACCTGAGAGCAGAAGCCATGAAACAAAAACAGAAAACAAAGAGAAATCCTTTTAAAAGTGGACTTTTTAAGTATGTGCTTATATTTGTTATTTACAAAAACTCTGAGTTAATAGCATTTAAAAGATAAACATTGACTCATTAAATTGTACAGAGCCTCTATAGTTCTTCTTAACTAATTTTTTCAACATTTTAAACTGATAAGTAATATATCTTATCAAAAATTTTGTTGTGTAGTGTGGCTGAGTATTTTTTACAAGTTGTGCCGTATTTTGATGAGCCCATAGGGTGAGTCAAAATACAAACAGCATGTAAAAATATTTAGCAATACTACACAACCAAACATTTAATGAGATTTATTATCCAACAGGCCAAATTGTTATTTCAGTGCATGGGAATTTTGCGGATGTTTATTTACGGGAAGTGTGTGACATTCTCTGGAGTTCAAATGCTGTGTGATATTTGTACTTGTTTTGAGTGTCATTGGTACTCTATAAAGCACAGTTGGATGATAACAAAAATAGCTGGTAGAACTTGGTAGGATGGTAACTAAAAGAAGATTTACTTAATTATGCAGGAAAATGCTTTTGACAGCTGGCTTGTAAATGTAGTTTTAGAATTGCAACCCTCACACTTCTGTCATTTGTATGTGTTTCTCGTGATAGGTATCTTAGTCTCATCGAAGGAGCAGAGTCATATGCTGTTTTAAGAGACTCTAGTAAAGCTGTTGTGTCTCTACCTCCAGTTACCAACTGTGATAAGAGTAAGGTAAGCAGCCTCATTATTGCATGACTCGGGCAGTCAGAGGGCCAATAACTAAAATCAACCAATCAAAATGCTCTTTTGCTGGTCAATATTCTCTCAGTATTGGACCGGGCACTGTCCTGAAAGGTCCCGAATGATACCGCACTTGTGACCCTTTGAACTTCAGTCGTATAATAAATCTCTTATTAACCAAGCTTGCTCGGGACCGTACTGGAAGAATATCGGCCCTCTGTCTTTTTTGTACGGACCGCGCGCAGCGAGGTCCGTACTGTCGAGACCTCGGGTCAATATTCTCCTAGTACGGCCCTTGCACTTGGTTAATAAGATATATTTACATTATACATACCACTGCACACTTGGTTGAAATGCCCTCTCTTTGTACTTTTATGTGTTGAGTAAATGATGAGGGAATGGACCTCATAAGAGGTCAACAAGTATTTTTACTTTAAGATCTTGCTTATCCAATTTAATCAAATTTTTATTGGAAGTCCATTTGTATTATACCATGATATTATGCCATAAGACATGAGGTGATTCCCAAGATATTGGACTATATTATTGAAGATGGCGAAGCAAAATTAACCTTTTATTATTTGCAGATCACGGCAAAAAAGATCAATGTACTTGTGGAGGTAACATCACCAGTCAGTCTTGAAACTTGTAAGACTGTAATGGACAGTGTAATCATGATGATGCTTGAAGTTGGTTTGTTTTCAGAGGCTAACTCTCTGGTGGATGATGAAGAATATGCAACTTCCTCAACAAACCAAGAGCTTGTTATTGAACAAGTTAGAGTATTTGGCAATGATGGACAGCTCAGAGTTGTCTATCCATCAAGAGTTGACCTGCAGTTAGAGTCAGTTAAAGTTATTCATCCAGAAAAAGTTTAGGAATAATTATGTAACAAGATTTAGATGGGTACTCAAGAGTCTTGTCAAACTTGTACAACTCACTTTGGACTTAAACTTCAAAATACTGTTAGCCATTTGCCTCAAGGGTAATAGGGCCCATTCTCAATTGGCTTGGTATGAGCACCCCCCCCCCCTTAATCACTTAATCACTTCACTCCTAATTCTTGGGGTAAAGTAATTTTACACTTCAACCAGCCATGTGGCTCAGTTTTGGCCTGTTATTATGCCTGGCATGAGTTACAATAATGCATGTGAAATCCTTTGCATAACACCAATGGTGGATCGTTTTGATTCATTATGTAAGAAGCGTTTTTATAGCCTGGCATGCAATAAAGATCATATTATGCTGAAGAGCTTACTTCTGTCATTATATTAGAAAATACAGTATGCCACATGTCCACACCAATAGGCTAAAGAACTCGTTTATGCTTGCAATGGGTGCCAAGAAAATTAAATTTTATGGGTTAATTTTTGTTGGTGGAACTTGTCACATAGGTTATTTTCCAAATTATTTATCAGCGCTAGCTGTAAAAAATGTGTCAAGGTTTTATTATAATGGTTATCATTTACTAGATCACTTTAAACATAGTTTGCATCTATATTATACTTTAATCATTATTGTAACTTTTATAAATCTTAGTAGGTAAAGAATTTCATAATTCAGCCGATGAGCTGCAATGTACCTACCTACCTACCTACCTACCTACCTAAAAGCAAAGCCATAGAAGTAAATGTTTGCGCTGAAGTAAAGATCGATTGGTAAAGAGATTATTGACTCATTATAGGAGAATCCTTGTTTACAATATTTGCCTCATTAGCATAATCAATTCAGTTTCTGATGGAGCTAAAATAAATCAGTTCTGAATATCGAAAGGTCAAAGTACGATTAACTCGGCCAATGAATACAAGCCTGATGCATTGAATACTTTTTGTACAACACAGGTTTAAAAACTCAAAATTTTACATAGAATGCATGACCTCATTAGCGCTTTTGCCACCCAGAAATTTTGCAGTTTTTGATGGACTATTTCTCCTTGAATATTACTCCCAAAGAGCTAAAAATTTCACCATGTATTGAGGTTTTCTAGCTCTTTAGCTGCCTGAAGTCAATTTGTATCTAACATGTTTCCTTCTTTACGCAAAGCCGTATGCAAATGAGCAAAAATGTAAACAATAATGTCAGCATTAATCCGCCTATTGGAGATGAATTATAAAGACTAGAAATAACAATAAGCAGTAGAAAATAATTAGGGGTGGAATAGTGAGAGTGTGTGTAATGACTGTAATCCACCCTACCCTCCCCCCCCCCTCCCATCCCCCTTTTTCACATATACCTTTTCCTTTCCCTCAAGTTGTCACTGATTGTCTAACTGAGGGAGTTCCTTACTGTATAAGTCGTACAATACATACCATATGTTTGTCTCAGTAGCGGGAGTAATGCCGAAAAAAAAAGCAATAAATTTCGCCACAAAAGGATAATGACAAACAAAGGAAACCGCATCAAACAAGTCTTGCGCGTCCATACAATTTGATTCGTTCCCAGACTGCTTACTAGCCAGTAACAGACAGCCATTTTATAAACGTCAGTTAACCAATCAAATGTGGCCAAGTGATTTGCCCTTGTGTTCACTTCCGTTCGTAAAACAACCGTCACGAGCTTGATAATTTTGCTGCAGAATAGCAAGACTATGGCGAACCGAAAGAGTTTATTCCTAACGTACGTTATTTGGCTTCTATGGGGATGGTTCGGTCTGCATCACTTATATCTGGGTCGAGATATCCAAGCATTTATCTGGTGGTCAACAATCGGAGGTGTATTTGGCCTGGGATGGTTTCGCGACCTTTGGCGTATTCCAGAATATGTTGACGATGCTAACGAAGAACCTTATTTCGTTGAGACACTCAAAAGAAAGATACAGCTTAGGAGAGAACCAGCTTTTAGTGTGACAAGGTTTTCAGGACAAATGCTTGTAGGCTATTTTTACGGCATATTAGTTCGAATGGCGATTCCCGAGGAGGCGAAGTGGCTTCCAGCACTGTTGGTACCTTTTGGGGTTGCTGTTGGTGTTTATCTCGTTGGAAACATTGGTCGAGAGAGAGGAGATTTCAAATACCCTTTGGTGGGAGCTTTTATTGCTAATATAGCTTTGACATATCTCACAGGGGAAGAGGCTGGTGCAATGTACGTGGCACTAGTTGCTGCCATCTTTTTCCAAAACTACCGCCAGTTCAGAAAGGAGAAAGCGCAGGGCAAGACGTTGTGCAAACGAATACAATACTTAGCGATTGGCGGTTTCATTATTTGTTCCCTTTGGGGTTCGTTCCTTTATTTTAATGCACAAGTCACAACGGAAGATGGAGAAACTGTCAAGTTACGTGATGCTATAAATCACTTCTTCAATTCACCGGTGTGGCTCGAGTTCAAGGAAGTAATCTGGGGTCTGTATGAAGAAGGTCAAAAGAACGGGTGGGACAATTTCTACGACGAGTTTGTTAAAGCTTTGGATCCCAGGGGAGAAAAGAACGCTTATCGTGTCCTTGGACTAACAGAAGATGCAACTCAAGAGGAAATAAAACGAAGATACAAGAAACTTGCAGTAAAGTGGCATCCGGACAGAAATCTAAACAATAAAGAGGAAGCCCAGCAAAAATTCATGGAAATTCAAGAAGCTTACGAAATTCTTTCGAAACTCAAAACAAGAAGGGCTTCTAAAAACACAAGAATAAGAAGCGAATTCGAGAACCGTGGTCATGACGAATTCTAACAAGTGCTATTAATATTTTAGATTCCATGGTAACATGACCATGGGTCACAGGTGGTTAAACTACAAACTATTGCTTACGGTAATTAGTATGTGAACTGTGATCTTTTCACCACCTGCTAGGAAGCCTTTCTTCCAATTCTCTATGTATAAAATAGGACTTAGATAATTTGACTTAGTACTAAAAGTCATTTTTCATGCAAGAGTTATTCATTGCACTGTTTTGGTGTTAATGTATGCTGTGACTCACAACACAAAAAATGATAGTCAAACCTGTATAAGCTGTCTCCCATGGGGAATGGCTCTGTAACTGCTCAACACAGGTCCACAGAATAGGGTATTATTAAAAGACAATGAAAAATTTCATTTTATGCCATAATTGACCAATTAATTTACAAAACTTTTCTCAATAATACTACCAAGATTGATTTGCATTGGGGAGTTAAATATGGATTAAATTTAAGTTGAAAGATTACTGTTAGTTTTAATTGAAAATTTCCTCCTTGAGAGACCATTCAATACAGGTGGAGGACAATACAAACAGGACTCTGTAAAGGGTGACCGCCTAATAGGGCTGACTGCTTAATAGATTTGAAAGTTACAGTAATTTAAGGGGTGAAAATTTTGGGACTTCAACAACCAACTGCTTAGCACAGGGTGACTGCTTATACAGGTTTACCTGAAGTTTGAGGAAAATGAAGTACACATTACTACAGCAAGCAGTAAATAGTGTTAGAGCAAGTTCCTCTGTTTTCATGAAATAATGGCAACAATATTTTTTTCTCTGAGGCATTGGTGCAGGTATATTGTTTAATAACTGAATTGAAGTGAGGGTGTTATGCATATGGAGGGTTACTTATTTTTGGTAAAGAGAGATGATAACACCAACTTGATTAATGAGCAAATACTGTAATAGGTGAGATGCAAATTGTTTTTCTCATGACTGTCAAAGTGAAAATGCATGCAAATATTTAGAAGTTTGGTTAATTTTTGATGCATTTTAAAATCATCCCTCAATTTCTGTTGATTTTACTCTTGAAAATGTTATGAAGTCCTCACCCTAGGGCATTGAAATTAGACCATTTTGTATGAAGAGAAGCATTCACAGAAATTATATTAAAGGTTGATCACAATTGATAAAGTTATTCATGGAGTCCTAGGTAAGCAACATTAATCAAGCATGGAAGTGAAGATGAATCAACTGGTAAACATCAATGCAATTTTCAAATGATCAATAAAATTAAGAGTTTTCGAGTATTCTACTCCTCTTGAACCTGGTAAAACATTTTACCCAATTAGCGTGTCATCTGCCTCAGCAAGTCAAAGTACTGTCAGTGATAAATCTTGACACTGATAGGACAAAGTTAAAAAAAGGGGAAAACATCTTTTTTTCTAACTGCAATAGCTACCTGGTGAACATTCTAGATATCAGAGTCCTCAAACATATCTTTGGAGAGTGGGCAAGAACTTTCTCCATGGTACACTAAGATCAGAGAAAATAGATCATTCTGCACAATACTTTAATTAAACTATTAATGCCTCATGAAAACTAAAATTGATTGAATAAAGGGGAATTTTAGCTTACAACCATGTCTGAAAGGGTGGAATGAACTGTCATTGTCTCGAAAAAAGATTGAGCACCTAGCTAACCTGGCTCTCAGTCACTGGAGATTACTGAAAAACCCTGTTTAATTTGCATTTTGCAGCAATTTTGTTGTGTTGGCAACCCTTTATGGAAGCCAAGTACCAAGTGCAATCCCAGTTATGCTTACAGCATATGAGAACCAAGCTAAACACTGGTGTGGGAAGAACAAAAGGCATTTCCTAGACAACCACTTTGTTTGTTCTTGACTGCCAAACAAGAGAAAGGAACCAAACTTTTAAGTGACTGTCTAGAATTTGTGGAAATTTTTGTTGGTGGACAACCAACAAAGGAAACTCCTAATCAGTATTTTAAAAAATGCAAGGAGAACAGCATGGAGAAAAAACCTGTTCCAGTCCTTAATTATGATTGAGACTAGTTAGTTAGTCACCTGAATAAATTCCCAAAATTCTATAAGAAGAAAATTATTTCACTCAGTGAAAAACTGTCATGTTTTCTAGTTTACATCATCAACATAAAGTCTGACAAGTTGCTTTGTTGCACTTGGTAAATGAGTGACAGGACAACATCCATGTTGATTGAGGTATTTGTGGATACAAGGGTAGCAGAACACGTAACCAGAAGAAGACAGTGCTGTAGGATTTGTGCGAACTTTGTTACACAGTGGACACTGAGCTGGGTGTGGTGGAAGTTGGACACCATATTGGGCAGGCTGTCAACGACAACAAAAATGGTGAGTACAATAGAACCCGACCAATGCAAACTCAGTTAACTTAAGCTTACCAATAACTCAAACAAAATGTGATTTGCCTTGGATTTCACTCCATTTTTCCAGCCATTTACTACCAGCTAACTTGAACTAGGTTTACTTAAGCTTTCTTTCTCTTAGCTGAAGTCAAACTTCAACTCAACCCTAACCCCAAAACACGAGTCATTAATCTCATCTCTTTTCAACCCACCAAAAGCCTTGGCTTCCTTCAGAGTACAACACCATGTAAACTCAGGTGTAAACATGTAAGGCAAATGTTAAAGCTCTTTAATTACTTCTAATTAACTACCTCTGAGCCATCCTACCTTAGGCCGGGCTGGTGGAGGGGGAACTGGCAATTGCATTACTGAATGAACAGCACTTCTATTGTCACTTGAATACCACCACTCTAGGAATTTAAGTGAAAACACAACAACAGGAAGACCATTGGCTAACACTGATGATAGCAGCTTTAGAGCTGAGCTTGGAATTGCCAGTATTTGTTTACCAAGAGTCTGTTGGTTAGGAACAGTGGGAAGATTTCTCTGCAGATTGTGCGTGACAATGTCTCGTTTTGTGAATCTTTTTAATGAGATTCCCACAATATGAAGTACAGGTGAATGGACTCCGGAGATCTTGAAGATATACAGCAAGTAATAACACAAACACATCAATTCCCACGTGCAATGCAAGTAGGGATACAGGTAAATAAATATTCTCTTGAGTTGGAGAAAATACAACCGCTTTCGGACTGGAAGGGAGGACAATGAACCAGTGACGCGTTCCTCTCGTAATCTTTCAAACAGCTGATCAAGTTTGAGTTTAGCATATGGAAGTACCACTAACATCACTAGTGACAAATATCTCTGCACACTTGATAGTTTATCATCACCATCATGATTAGGGGTTCTGCTTACTCTTTTGAGCCCATAGAAATGTTCAGATATGGAACCTCTGTAGATCTTTAAATAGTGATTCTGAACAACGTAATCAAAAAAAAGGTGAAGTTCGTCTCCAAAACGCCAAATCCAGCCCCATTTGTCAGGATTAGAACTCGCTAGCACTTTCAACGCATAAGTAACAGCTGGTCTTAGTACTGATGCCATAGATTCTTGGGCAATAATCTCAAATATTGTAGGTTGAGCGTTCAAAGTGCCTTGGTTCAAATGGGCTGCAAATTCAGCCATATTGTAAAGCTAGAATGGCTGAGTAACCAGGTGATTCCGATTGAACGAGTAACCTGAGGCAACTGTGTTGTTAGTGATGTATGTTGATGGAGCGAAAGGCAGGACATTTGACAAAGTCTGTGCAAGAGATCGCTGGATCTTTGTTCTGGATAAAGGTAAAACATAATATTTCCTCAAATTTGTGTTTTATATTTGCATTTTTTCAGTCTCAATAAGTGGTTAATGAAGTAGCTGAACTAATCTCCCTGGAGATTAAGAGCTTTAGTCGAAAAAGTCAAACATCTAAAGCGATTGAGGCTCCTTCCTAAGAAGGTACTGGAGGCCATTTACTTTAGAAGCATTGTCCCTGGTGTTACTTATGGTAAGCTAGTCTGGGGAACTTGTTCCCCCCCCCCCCTTCCTTTGCTATATGACATTGAACTGATCCACTTAAGAGCAGCTAAGATCACACACGGTCTTGCAGAAGTTAACCTGGAAACCTTGAAACGCATTCACTGGCAGCCCTTAACTAATTTTTACAAACTGAAGTTAATATCATTCATGTAGTCAGCTTATCACGGTTTAGTACCTAAACCAATACGTGATTTTTTCCACAAAACTGAGCAGCGACCCCATAATCTAAAAATAGTCCATTTTACAGTTGTGTGCTTGGTTGCCAAGCCTTTGAACGGGAGTGAGGCTAGAGATGACCTTGTTATGATACAAACCTTGCTACCTTTCAAATGTAAATCATTTTGTTATCATGCTAGCTAGATACAGGTCTCTATCACAACAAGGTCATCTTTAGCCACACTCTGAATCAAAGGCTTGGCAACTAAGTACACAACTGTAAAATAGCCTATTGTGTTTCTGTTTTTTTTTTTTTTTGTCCATAGAATTTGGTTTATAAATTTGGTTTATCATGTTACAATTCAATTCCCCTTTTTCGCTGTAAAAACCCCCTGGATTCAAGCTCCACGCCTGAATTTAAAATAAGCGTATGTTTTGTTTATCAAAGTATTTGCTCTTATCTCTAAACATCACAACTGATAAACATCTGGAAATCACCCGCCGAATGCACCGAGCTTTGCAAATCACGATGACATGAAACATTTGGCCTTTTTAATTAATGACAAGTACTCGAAAAGGTCCATAAATTTTAAGAAAGTTGAATGGCAGGTATTTTAATTTAACTGATTTGGTGAACAATTGGTAACGTTGCAAAATCTTTAAAAAAAAACAATCTGGCGGTAACTTTGATGGCAATGTATGGTTGGAACGAAATTTACCATGATCAAAGAAATTTGTCGAAATCGTAAACAAAATGATGAAATTTTCCTTCAAACTTTTTGTCATGTCTCTGGCAGATAACGCTAAACATGTTCTTTACTGCAAGTCTAAAGAAGCAATTAATGAAAGTCTAGCTGTCTCGAACTTGAAAGAACATCTTTCTGTATTATTTAGCATTATAGCGGTATGTGTTCAGTGTACAGCAAATTAAGGCGAATCTTCCTCTCTTTGTAATTCTTTAGAGTGGAATGGACACAACTGATTCAGCAAGGTGAAATAGATCTTAATAAACTTCCTTTTCCAACCCCCTTTGAGCTCTTTTGAAAGTATCTAGTGGATTGGCAATAATTTGCTATTGTATTTAAATGAGATATATCTGTGTTATTAAATGCTTCGGTGAGCTTTGTAATTATGATATTTGACAGCAATCGAAACTCCTTACCTTGGTGGCTCTCATTTTCGCTAGATTTCGTCTTCAATCGACTTGAAAAGTAATCTTGAAGAGATCACTTTCTTCGCTGGCCATCCATTTCCGATTTTCAAAGCATCAACACACATGTGAATTGCGATGGTTTCGTGCTTTGCGACGGTCATGCATTTCATATTACTCATTAGTTAGCTGTACCACTGATAGTTTTTGTACAGTACTTCCTGTACAGGTTTTTAGGTTTTTCTGTCTTACATAACATCAGAAGTATACAAGAGAATGATCACTAAACTAAGCCTCAGATTTACAAAAAGAAAGATTCCTTGGGAAGACAGATCTCAATATTACAAAAATTCTCCTTTACAAAGTAGCCGGCGCAAAATGGTCTGACAGCCGGTGGATTTCCGCCGCCTACCGGCTTCTAATGACAACCCTGGCATAAACAAATAAACTATGTATGTATGTTTAAGTTGCAACCAAGTTAATATCTGCATTTAGTATAATTTCAGAGCTGAGCAAAGAGTTTCCAGCAATCTGATTGGTCGAGTGGTTCTTTATATGACACTATTATAAAACGCTCTACATGGTTTATATAAAATGTTAAAATAAAATGTTAATAATTGTTACTAAAATGTTATGATTTTTGAAATTTCTCTGTTGTTCAGCTCTGAAATTATACTAAAACAATAATTATTTGCCTCAGGCTCGGTGAATATTGTTGAATAATCCCCTCGACTTCATCTCAGGGATTATTCGATGATATTCAACTTGCCTTCGATTTCGGCGAATAATTGTTAAGTCTAAACA